GCTGAGAAGCCCTGGGGGGGCTGCAGGGACCAGAGCTGGGAGCTCTGCTGGGCTCCTCCAGGAGAGGGTCACGGAGATCCTGGAAACATCCCGAGTCCGAGCATCTATCCCACCTTGCAGCAGACACAGCTCCAGTGAAAGTCATATCCCACATTCCACATGGCACTGGATGGAATGGACAGGTGCCTTCCACCCCGACACAGGGAAAGGAAAAGCCAGGCCTACTTTAAAGAAGTTACAATGAATTAAATATGGTTTTTGGTAGTTCTAAAAATACCCCTAATTAAAAACAAACATTTTAAAAGCCACGTTAAAAATCCTACTGGGTTATCCGCAGAGTAGGCCCAGCCTGCAAAATGTCACCTCAGGTGTTTAATTAATATAAAGATGGTCTAATTTGGGGGTTAAAAATGAAGTCTGGTTGTGCTTAAGTTGCTCTTGTTACCAAAAGGCATCTGAAACTCAGAGCAAGTTTTTGGAAGCCGGGCCTGCAGTTCCTACTGGGCACTGATGGGAAGCTGTGATGTAACCAGCCTAAGAAAGAACAGGATTATGGAAAATTCATAGCTTTCATCCCAAAACATAACCCCCAAAAGGCTGTTTGTGCAGTGCCAGCCTGTTATGTGTTGCAGGGGTGGTGTACAACTATGACCAGGAGGGTGTGCACAGGGCCCACTCGGGGTGGGAGCAGTGCATCTGCATCCCCCTGGTCCAGCCACACATGGTGGAGCTCCTGCAGCAGTGGGACAACCTCCTGGAGGAATTTTCTGAGGGAGAGGCCTGGCTTCCTCACAGGTATGTGGCTTGAAATGTGGGTGTAATGGAGTTTTTAGTCTGGGATGATAAATGGGGCTGGACCCCGGGGGGCTTGTGGGTCATCCAGAGCCTTGTGCTCCTTCAGAACACACCTTTCCAAGGCTGGACAACCCTGTCAGCCTGTCCTGAACCTCCCTGGCCTGGCTAAACACAGCATTCTTCAGTCTTAAGTACAAACTTATGTGCTGGAACATGAAAGCTCTAAAACGAGTTTATTTCAGGGAATTTTGCATGAAACCCCCAGTTTAATGAAACATCACCTACCTGCTGCTCAGTACAAAGGGCCAGGTGCCATTCTGGGATTATTTTTCAAGGTTTCTGCAGTTTTAGGTGTATTTGCATTTAAAAGCTGACCACACTGGGATTCTTGCCCAGATCTGACACCCAGGTGACATTCTGGTTGTCAGTGGTGAGAAATGGGCAGCAGGCTCATTTCCAGCTCTTCCACCTGGTCCATAACATTGCTCTGGATGGGCAAATACAGAAAGGTGTCCTCACCCTTTGAAATAAGCTGGTGTGTCCCACCAAGAATATGCAGCCCTGAAGTGAATGCCCAGGTCAGACATGCCCTGTCACATCCCCACACGGCAGCTCTCCAGGGAAAGCCCTGGGACTGTCCCTGGGAACAGCCCAAGTAACACACAGCCTGCCTGGGCGCTGGGGGTGTGTCACTTCACAGAACCATAATAGAAAAGAAACCCCCACCACCAAATCAAAAGCATTTTTTAGCAATTCTGTACATGCTGACTATAAATATCAGACCTCATCCATCATCTCCCCAGACCAGGAGATGGAAGACTTTGATTTGGAATAGAATTTTTAGATGTTTACAGGACTTGTAAAACCAGCAGGATTTGTGTTACTTTTACAATTCCCAGTGCCTTAACAGGAATACTAAAATTGGCTTGGTGTCAAAAAACCTCACTGGCAGAAGGCAGACAGATGTTTTCATCTCTTCTACGAGCTTTTCTTCACTTTTCTACTATCTCCTGACACAGTGACCTACTTTTTCCACAACTAGACCAGTAACCACTGAACTGCTGAAAACTCTTTTAATTAACTCCTCTGGTTTTCAATGGACAGGAACTGCACTAAACTAATCCTGTAACAACTCTGGGTTCAGGCTGAGCCTAGTTCTGATTTTCTTGATTGCTTGTCATTTACTGGAGGACAGTGTAGAACAGCTGCAAAGAACTGCAGCCACAGCCAGGACCAACAGCACCTGTAGTGACTGAGAGGAGCTGGCTCTCTTGTCTGGATCCAAAGACACTCTTCCCAAAAAGGAGGAGCTGAGCTTTGTTACTGAACAGGAGCTCACAGGTCACTTCAGGTGCCCTGAAACCAGGAGAGCTTTGAAGAGAAGAGTGAGTTCTGCTGAGCTGGGCTCAGGGTCACTTTTCATAGCCACAGTCCTCAGATCTTGCAGAAACCCCCAGGGCTGACAGGGAATCCTCCCAGAGACTCCCTGTGACAGCACAGACCATGGAGCCACTGAGAGCACGAGGCAAGGAATGGGTCACAGGGCTGGGGAGAACAAGGGACAGGGGGTCAGGCACTTAGGGGAGCAGCCTGAGGGTGAGGCAGGTGGCAAACAGGAGTCTGAGCAAATGCAGATACACAGGGACAGGGGGAAACGCAGCACAGTGTGGTGAGAGAGTGGAGTAAATGCAATCATTGAAGCTGTTAGTGGACAACATGAAACATTTGGGAGAACACAAGGAACATTCTGACAGTGACCAGATAAGTGCTAGGACAGGGTAGCCGGTAGGTTAAAGAAAGAGGAAAAAAGGGCAAAAGCATTTTAAATGGCTGTCACTCCTGTTCCATTAGCATTTCTGTCCTTGCACAGTTGGCACAGATCACTGCCAGTGGGGTTTGACTGGCACATTGTCCAACAACTGTATCAGCACATCAGCGATGGAAGGCACTGGGTTTGAAGGAGCTTCCACGTTACCACCACATGTGGGGCCTCACAATTAACACTGGGGCTGCAGGAAAGAGTTTGGAACAATACAGGGAAGAGCAAAGGTTTAACAAGAGCCAAGTCAGTCTAGAAAATAAGAATGCATTACTGCCACGTCTTGCAGCCTCTTAGTTTTTATGCCTAGAGTTCCTGGGCTGGAAAGTACAGCTGGTGATGAATGGAATATATTTAACCATCAGCATGAAGGGAAGATGGGGATGGTTCCTGGGGAGTTCTTGGCTCAGTGGTAACTCTTCCTAAGGAGGTGTTTTCTCCAGGTATGACGAGCAGGAGCACAACTGCTACACATTTGCCCTGGCCTTCATCAACCACGTCCTGAGCAGGCAGAGGAAAGAGCCCCTGAGCAAGGGGGAGTTCACAGAGAGGTTCGTGCTCCCCCAGAGCAGAAGAGCCTCCAGGTACCTCACCCTGCACCAGGAGCTGGCACACAGGGACTGCTACATCGTGCCCCTGCCCGAGGGGGGACAGAGCAGCAGTGCTGAGCATGATGAGCTGCTGTACTGAATCAGCTGCAGCAGGAAACAGGGAAAAGCCTTAAGGCTCCAGATCTCAGGGGTTAAGGTGCAGGATCTAATTAGTTAAAAACACAGTTAATTTTAACCTGAAGGATACTGACCTTGTTCATTTGAGTGAAATGATGTATCTATGATGTACACATTACAGAGAGTTTCTGTGGCAACTATTCATATGCAAAAATGTTTTCTTATTTACGTTCACTGTGTGCTCTGCAAGGACACTTCCTACCAGAAATCAAGACTGCTGTGTAATTAAGGGTTTTAGCAAATGAACTATGGTATCTTCAGCCATAGCAAACCAAAATGTTTTTTTTCTGTCACATTTGATTATTGACAAATGAAAAAAGGGAATATGTGCTTCTGTGCTGCTGAAATCCAAATGCAGATTCACTACCTGCAAAGTTATTTTCCTCTGATTACTAATAAATACAACAACAAAGAAATCTAGCCTCTTTGCCAGATACATTTAGTTTTCAATTTACATTTTGCATGTTTATTCTTCAAACCAAGACAGATGCTTAGTATTAAGAGATATTTTAGTGTCTTATCTGTTAGTAGTTGTAATAATCAACAGACTCCTCAGAATTTATCTTGGAGTTAAAACTACAGAATTAAAAAAAAAATTGAGTTAAAATGACAAAGTTCCTCCAACAGCACTTTTACCTGTTGTGCATTACACAGAATGTATGCTGAGCTCCAAACTGGGCAGTCCAGAACTTTGTGTAATTTCACTTCACTTACGTTATAGTTTAAGAAAATAATTTCAGCTTTTTTCCCTTCTAATTTTTTATGAAGTAAGCTGGTTTTGGTCTAGCTGCAAGTCTTGTTTTCTCAGAGATGGAGAAGCGTTCATGAGTGTTTGGGGGTTTGTTTACCCTTTTGTACACACAGACCCCATTAACCCTGTCCCCCCGTGCTCTCCAGCTGCACACACCACATACACCACACTTCGCACGCCTCCCCCTCCGTGCCAAACTTAAAACACCCACAGCACAAGTAGGGACAACCAGCTTGAAATGCACTGTCCTGCTGCTGTTAGAGACCTGTCCACCCCCTCCCAGTGCACAGCACAATCCCTCAGCCAGGATTTGGCTCACAAACAAGTCCTGGTGTGCTGTTTCTGAGGCAGAATCCTCACTGCATTAAAGTACTGTATGTTAGGTGCTAAATTATAAATACAGTGGCAAATGATACAACTAAGTTATTTGATCCACCAGCACTGAAACATGAAGTACAGTCCTCTGCAGCTTGAAATAAAACACCTTGACTCCTACACCTAACACCTCCACACCTGTTCAGGTTGAAAAAGCTTCTGTGCAATTCACATTTCATTTTACATCCTTCCAGTAGGAGTCATATTAAATGAAAGCAAAGACAGGAAGATTTTCCACTTTGAGTTGTATGGAGTTTCCAGCATTTGTGACATGGCTCTACAATCTAAACTGCCCAAATAAACATGATTGTGGGGTTGTGTTTGGTGGGAACAGGTCGAGGTGACACGATTTCTACCAGACAAGGAAAAGGTCCTGTGCCCAGAAGGCAAAGCCCCTTTTACAGGGAGTGAAACCAGCACAAAGTGTGTCACTGCCACCAGCTCTGATGTGTCCTCACTGTTGTAGCAAATGTGTTCTCACAAAGCCTGAACAGCATGGGGAAGCAGGGAAGCCTAGATGGAATTCAAATTCCTGAATGAAGCAGCAAGGCTTAAAAGGCAGCACAGTTGATACTGAAACCTCCTGGCTCTGCTTGAAAGCAGCTCAGCAGGTGCTGGGTTGGTTGGCTGGTTTGTTTTTCCTAATGTGCCTTAGCACTAGTGAACATCAGCGTTAGGAACCTGCCTTCCAGATGATTAAATCTTGCAAAAAAAAGTTAGAAAACAGCAGGCACTAGTGTAGCAAATCTCAGCACTGTCCTATTCCTCACTCCATCCAAACTGCAGTTTATCCTCATCTGCTATATGACATGATAGGCCAGGACAGAGAGAGCTACCAGTGCCATAGGAACAAAAATAAGTGTATAAGCTGTTGTAGGTTCTGGATAAAAGGGAAAAAAGCAGTGATGAATGTGAGACTCACACTTGCCAAGCTAGAGGCACTGAGTTCCTCTCACTGGCTCAGCAAAGCTGTTATTTTCTGCACAGTAAGTCATCCTCAAGAGAAGAAAGGACCTCAGCTGGGCTGGGCATCTCGCTGGCACAGGGCAGGATGAGGCCCTTACTTTAAAGGGAAGAAAGACATCTTACCCAGATGGAGAAAGGTGCCCAACACCTCACTGTGCTGTTAGGTGCTTAACCCATAGAATTCACTAAAATCCCTGCACATTCTGGGAAGAGTTCCTCAATTGTGAGCTGTGATTGTGAAAATAAGGCACTAAATCCCAGCGTCCAGGCACCCAATCACAACATGTTACAGTAATCAATACTGCAACAACCACATCTCTCCCCAAATCCAAACTCGTGCCTTTTCCTCAAGGCTATGAAGTCAGGTTTTGGTTGAGGAAAGTTACCACTGATAATCTAAAAGGTTATTTGATTCACTGTAATTACTGCTGGTTTTTAAGCATTAAATTTGAGGACTGTCAAGTTTAAGCCCTCATTTCTGAAGAAATGTAGGACCCTGTGCTGAGCCTTACAATTCCCAACTCTGAACACGTATTCCCAGAAAACAGTCTAATCCCTCATTGCTCAGGCATTTGGCAGACATTCAGGAGTCAGACCATTCAGCTCTAACGCCATCACCTGCCAGAGAAGTAAAAATTATTTAATATTAACATTTAAAATAGCAACAAATATTAATATTTAAAAAGTTAAATGTTACTAATTACTGCAGTGTAGCCACCACTCGTTTTATACTTTCATATTTTATTTTTATTTTCTGTTTTGAACTGGAACACAGCTTTAATTTTTCCTCCCCTTCATATGCACCACTATAGCTCAGTTATGTTTTCCAATACAGCACTGTCCCCAGTAAACACAATACACCTCACTTTAAATAGCATTTACACAAACCAACTGTATGTGTAGACAGGAGCTGTTCTGAGGCAATGGGTCATCATGAGATCAGGTAAAAACCAACAATAAGCGGTTTTAAAAAAGTGACTTTTTCCTATGCAGTCAGTTAAGCTTCATCTTGCTCACTGCGCTCGCGGGAAGAAACCCAACGACTGACAATCAGTTCCTGAAATAAAACCAGAATTATTATGGAAAAAACCCCAAAGCTACAGATAATCAGTGAGGGATGGGAATTAGGTCTCTAGAATTGATGTGTATTATGTGACCACTGAGAAATTATAGTAGATGACTGTGTTTCTTCCTGACATGAGCTGGTCTCACACATATTTCTCCCTTCATTTTGAACAGATATTAACCTTGCAGTCTCCACAGGCACCCTCGTTTCCCCATGCAAACGCTTACATTGACAGTAACAGCAACATTAAACTTTAGATCAGAAGATGTGAAGTTTTTAGAGAGCCTGCAATGCCCATCTCATGCCTTGGGGCATGAAGGAATCTAATTATTTTATTGCAGCTGCACTTGAAAAATCCAAATCAAGGCAAAGAGGCAGGGACAGTTCTCCCAAGGAGCTGTGGAGCTGCTCCATGGCAAAGCCACCCATGGCACAGAGAGCAGGAACTACTCACCTGGACCTTGATCCTCTTCATACACTCTGGGCTTGACATCTCCTCTGCAGTCATGTCAGAGGGTTTAATCAAATAGCAGAGCATCAGCTCCTGTGGCAACCAGCAAACACACACAGGAATTGAAAGGGATTATGGAAGCACTGTGCTTGAAGCTCTAGCACAGAGGAAAACAAGCTTCTCTGTTCAAAAGAAAATCCTGGTAGATGAAGAAGGCTTTAAAAACAGAAGTGGCATCAGGAAACAAGTGTCCCTCAGGTCTTTCTTCTGTTCCTCACACAGCTTTTAACACTCCTTCAGGCACCAGAACTTTAATAAGCTTTACAGAACTCATCTGTAAAAAGCTTTAATAAGCTTTACAGACATTAACCAAGGAAACTTGTTTCCCCACTGGCAACTAAACGTGTTGTTCAGCAGAAGGATTCTCTTCCCAGCCTCACTCCAACTCCTGCTCCTGGGAGCTCAACTGTCCCGTTATCATGTTAAAGCTGTTTTAAACACTGACCTTGGAAGCATTAGCAGTTGTTCTGTTGAGCCCAGACAGGGACATCCAGCTGAGAGGTCTGCGGAGAGATCCTTGGAAATCATCATCCACCAATTCAGCAAGGACAGAGTAACTGCACAACAGAGCACACAGCACATTTTTAACTAATTTATTTTACCTCACTAGCTAATGAATAAAGACAATTACCATCCCTTTAAAATTTCTTCTCCTGTGGTAGTTTGGTCTGGGCCTTCCTTGGTGACCAGTTTGTTACCAAGGAAGGGTCCAGATTTCCCCAGTATTCCCTACGATTTTTTCGTAAGCCAGACTATAAGAAGAAAGGAGGAGAGGCCTTCGCTCTCTTTCCTCCCGGCGGCTTGGAGGTGCAGGTTCCCTGCTGTCGGGTCTGCCGTGCTGGGGAGCGAGGCCTGGTCAGGCCTTGCCGACCTTGGGAGGTGGAGGTTGCCGGCGATCGGTCCAGAGCGACTCTCCGTTGTCCCAAGGAGAACAGTGAGCTATTTCTTTGCTAACTTTTTTTAGTTGCTAGATATTGGGCTACTAATCGGGATATATATATATTTTATTTTGGTTTTGTTCCTTTTCCCTTCCCCCTTCCCTTTCCCTTGTGAAATTGTATATATATTTCAATTGTATTTAACTGTAACATAAGTGTAAATATATGTGTATATATATATTGCTTTAGCTCTCTCTCTCGTTTTGGTTTTTCTTGGTTGTTTTTCTCCCTCTTCTCCGTGAGGTTTGGGGGGTGGGGGGGGACTTCTTGTGGTAAGGTTTGGAGACTTGGCAGGGAGCCAGCTTCAAACCATATCATCTCCCAAATTACCTAAGTTACCCATACCATATCTTTTCCAAAGTCAGTTTTACTTATTTACTTATAAATCAAGTTACTTTCCTGAGTGCATTCATCATACAAGTGTTAAATATGCTCACTGCAACTTCTAATTTTTAATGTCTGTTACTTAAATTCAATTAAATTGTGTCATTTAGTACCTCTGCTAAAAGGATTTTCATATTCCCAGTATGAACACATCCAGCAATATATTCTGAGTGATGAATATGTACTTAAAGCAGTGAGAATGTGTGAAAGAAATCTAATTTGAAACAAAGAAATTTGACAGAAACAAGAATGTCAAACCTGGCATGATAGAAGGGGGGGCCTTTTCGATACAGCACTGAAATGGAAGAGAAACACCTTAGTCTGATAATCACAGAGTTCCCATCAGAGTTTAATACCAGGGTCAATCAATATTGTCAAATGGTTTCTAAGTTTTAATTACACAAGACAAAACTTCAATGCTTTTGAATCCTTCTCAGAATTAAGTTGTTCCAGCAAGAGTAGAGAGAGGGAAGAGACAAAGAAATGGTGGAGCAGGTAAAAGATAAATCAGAAGAGCCAAAGGACAGTTTGCTGTTGCTGTGGGAAAAAGTTTGGGATGGAATTTTTCTGCAACAGACTCATGTTTTTGACATTGTATTTACAACAGAAGCTGAGGCACTGGAGTACAAGTAAAATGACAGTAAGTCATCACATTTCTGTTCCAAACAAGTATTTTCCACAAGTTTTAGGAGAGGCACAGGTTCTTACATACTGCCCACCAGACCCTCTAAAAGGTCCCTCTTCATACAAGGTACACAAGACTCCTCCCAGCTGGACTGATGTCACTGAGTTAAAGGGTTACATTTCCTGTCTTCCCTTTGCCAGGGGGTTGTAAGAGGGGACTTTCTTTAACTAGCAGAGCTTTTCTTACACAGCTTTCCCTGTCAGGAGGGGATGAGCAGCACTTCATTCATGACAACCATGACTTGAAAATTATCCATTATCACCAACTGTAGTAATACCAACTCTAAGAAGGTGCTGCACAGCTCAGGACTAAGGCAGAACTCCTCCAAACCTTAAACTACTCCACTTCCTTGGCCTGGCACAAATCCAAAGGCAGTGAGTGACCAAACAACAAATTCAGGCCAACACACAAATGAAAGGTGAACCAACTGGTATCAATTTCTCTGTACATCAGGTGATCAACAGCAAACCCCCATCCACAACCCAGGGTGTAAGAACAGCGAGGATGAATTCAGCCAAAGCCACTCACTATCTCAAGGATGAGCTCAGCACAACCCCCAGAATGTACAACTACATCAGCAGCATTAAAACACCTGCTGGTTTGCAAGCAATCATTAAAAAATACCTCCCTTAATGCACATTCTCCTGAAAGGACAGGCTTTACTGTACCCCTTGTGTGCACATGAGCTAAATGTAGTTCTTGAACTACTTAGCAAGGGATTTTGGACAGTACTAATAATTTATGTAAGATTAAACTCCCAACCATTAACAAAGAAACAAATCCATTCTCCCTCTATCCAAAAAAAGCCCCGAGAAAAACCACCCAGAGAAACAGTCCTAGCAGTTCAGCACAAGTCCAGCTTCTATTAACTGGGATGAATGAGATCCATGGACTGTGTGAATTTGGATCTGGATTCAAACCTGTTATTGTAGGGACTGTCACATTGACACTGTAGAGGGTGTGTTTAGAAGGGGACGGAAGCACTTGGGAAGGGAATTCCAGTGGAATCCTGCAGGAATTATTAACCTCATGAAGGCAAACAACAGGCCTCTCAAGCTGCCTCTTCAGCTACTGACTCTGGGATGGGATTTTCCACTCACATCCCAACTTTACTGCCAACCCACAGTCCAGCCAAAAACATCTGTTGCCAAGGGCAAGAGGCAGAGGCTGCTGCAGTGCCTGAATTCCCCTGTGGCACTGCAGCCCTGCCCTGCCTGAGGAGAAGGGAGGTGCAGATGCTCCAGGTGAGGAGGTACTCACAGAGGTCGGTGCCGTACTTGAGCCCCACCTTGGGCACCCAGCCCCTGCTGCGGAAATAGTGATAGGCCATGTAGGTGGTCTTGAAATCAGGCTTCACCTCGCTGAACACCTCCCACAGCTGCACGATGGTCAGGGGCTCCTGCAGAGCACACACAGGGCACTGGGACTGCACAGACAGACACAGAGCACCGGGACAGCCAGACAGAAACACCACAGCACAACCAGTGCAGGCTGCTGCACACAGTGGGGGCTGCCGGCAAGGAAATACGGACTCCCTAAATACAAGACTTCCAGAAACCTGCTGCTCTCTGTGAGATGCTTTTAGCATCTCACAATCAGTCCCACAATGCCCTTATCTAAAGGAAAGGTTGATCAATCTCAAGCTAGAAGCACAGGTTTCAATTATTTTGCCATGACATTAACAATAGCTTGTTATACTTGGAGATTAATGCTTAAAGCTCCAAAGAATGTTGCCATCTCAGGTATTATTTCTCCCTTATTTGCCCTTCCCATGTTTCCTGCCTAAACTATAACAACAAACCTTCCTCTACAAAAGGACTCTGCTTAATTATATTTGTCTGGCTAAACTTAAAACTTTCAGACCAGTATTTCATAAACAGAAATACCATTACTTACAAGAAAAACTTCCCAATTACTCTGTTTGGTATTTCCTCCTCCAGAATTAACAGCATAAATTACTGCCATATTAACTAAAAATTTCAGACCAAACTGTATCCAGACGAATGGTATCCCCAGTAACCCAAAATTAATCCAATCTCTTACCTCACCATAATAAATACTTAAACATCCCAGAGCATACACCAAGAAAAAAGCCTGAAAAAATAAACAGAGTAAGTTTAACTAATATCTCGTTTCTTCCTGTGGCTTATGTTCCATGCAAGAACAAAGGCTCAAATTAATTTTATACAAGAGTCCTCATGCCACGAGACTTGTGATCATGACCTTTACATTTCAACAGACGCAGAAAAATCTACAAGCTACAAACCATCTCTGCCTGTGCTGCACGTTCCTGGGGGCCCGGTGTTAAAACTAATATATTTAGAGGCAGCACAACTGAAACAGGATTTATTTAAACGTTATATTCCTGGTATTTTTACACTTAAATCACTGGTCTCTCTGCCAGTGGGATTGTTCATCTAAAGTAAATGGGATTGGACCCTAAATATTTTTAACCATATCATGTAATTCTTGCAGGTTATTAAAAAGGAGTTTAATGACTAAGACAATCCAAATCCTTAGGAGACACAGGAGATCCTTGTACTTTAGAAAGAGGTATTAAATTATGTTGTAACATAGATTAATGTCTACTTTTTCAGATTAAAAGCAAACCAACTTGTACTTGGAACATACCTCTTCCAAGCTGAGCTGTAAATATTCAAAAATCCTAAATGGATTTTTCCTACATACCAGTTTCTCCTTCTTGACAAGCTATAAGAAAAAAAAATACTGTATTATTAAAACTTTTAACTGGAAAAAATACTGAATTCTGAAAACAGCACTGATGCTAGAGATTTTCTAAAAGATTGGGATACTCTTTTTCCTTACATTTCCTTGTAAACAAGCAGTGTCATCTTCCGGACATAAGCTCTCTTCTTCTTCTTCCTCTTGCACCAACACATATTCTGGAGCATTTTCCTTTGCCTCGCCCCCCTGCCCAGCCCTTTGCTCAGGGCTCTGCTTCCCCTCACAGCCACAGAGCACAGGAGCACCACCCTTCTGGCAGGACCCTTCCTCCAGCCCTCTGGAGTCACCTTGTTCCTGTTCCTTAGAGCCACACACAGGGCCCATCCCTGCATCTCCTTCCAGACAGGCTTTCCTGGAGCCCCCATTCTGATCCTCAGCACTCAGGGCTCCTGCACTGCCAGCATCTGCAGAAGGTTGCCTGGAAAGTTCAGCATTTTCTCTATGTGGGCCCATTCTGTTATTAACGGTTTGTTCAGCTCCACCCTCCGTCAGCTCCAGAGGTTTGGTGTAATTTTCAAGGATTTGAGTAACTGAGCAGTCATCAAGGCCTTGCTCTTGCAAAACACTCCTGGCCCACTGAACACGTCGCTGGTACCTGGGAAACAGGAGAAATGGGAACTTGGAGGGCATTGCATCCTTTAATTAACATTTTTAAACAGGGCCCTTAAAAGCAGAGGATTCAGCACAGTTCACAAGCAAATCTGAACACACCCCAACAACTGCTGTGCAAACACAAGTGTGCCCAGTGCAATGGGGCTCCAGATTTTAGGGGTTTGGAGGTGACACCATTGAGCATCAGGATTCTTCCCCTCCTCTGGTTTTGCCTTTTAAATTTGTGTGGCCTAAACACCACTACTGAGCCCTGCAAGGGCTACACAAGGGACTGTGTAGTTTCAAGAAGCAAGAACCTCACTGGGCAAAAAGTCCCTTCTCCCATGGGAGCCCTAAACCTGAATCCCCCCAAAAATGTCCTGGAAGCAGAACTTGCAGGATTAAAATATTCAACAAGACTTTGCATACAGAGCTCTCACACACTTCATCTATTTTACAGATAACAACTGAGAGCAGTAGCTTCAAAACTCTGTTCTAAGTACCTTTCTGTCCTAGTTAGGACAGCTGAGACCAGTTCATCACTGGATAGGTGTAACCCAAAACTGTGTATTCTAGAGCCTCCAAGCCATTTCCCAGAAACTGTTATCAATGAACCATTTACACCCTCTGCACACAGAGCCTGACTCCTCAGGTATAAACTAGGTGCTAAGAGGCCTGCGAGATAGGAGTCGATCTTGTCCTCACATCCATTAAGGAACCCCTGCCCTGAGGGAGGTACTGAGCATTCCTGCCTGAACTGGAGGATATATAATCTTGGAGTCTTGGGACCTTTTTAACCACTCGTGGGATCCAGAGGAAGACTGCAGATCACCGGCTCCCGACCAGACTGTAACAGCACTCTCACCAACAGGTTTCCCCTTCTCCTTATCCTTTGGATTCAGGGGCCCCAAAGAACACCACTCTGTTCATGCCCCATTTTCTCTTGGAAAATAACATTAATATCCAGTTGAAGACATGAATCTTCCCTCTGTGCAGCTGCGGGGACCTCAGGGCAGCTGTCCTTCCTCGAACCTGGACAACTCTGGGACAATACTCTTTACTTTCCCGAACAAAATCCTAAGGCAGCAATTCCAGACCAGGTAATGAAGAACTACAGAGATAATTAAATGCAAATTTCACGTGTCAACACAAACACAAGTCCCTGTGAAGGCTCATAATAAAGCTGTACAATTCAGTGCTGTACTCTTTGTTATATAAACCAGACTCCTCGTGGTCCTATGATTTAATTACCATGGAATTTGCACTTCCAGATCTCTACCAGAACAGATCGCGATGCCTTTTGAGCACCAATAATCACACTTGCACTGATGCTGAGGCACTGCTGGCACATAAAGCTGTCACAAGACAGACTAATAAGAATGGCAAGTATTTCTGTGAGCAGTAGTAACTGTACTAGCACTAGCAGTAATATTGATACTGTTTTTCTTATCTAAAATCGAGGACTGAAGGAGCCTAATTTTCAAATTTAAGTAAATTTTTTTAAATTATCATAAGATTGAAACAAACTGAGTAACCCACCTGCACATGCTTAACAGTTCATCCACTATTTAAGCAAAATAAAAATGTGGTCCAACACTCTGTTTTGCTAAGTGGACAAACTAGCAATGTTAATTGATAATTTATATTAAAAAAGTAAAATATTAGTGCATTATAAAAATTCAAGAGCTGCTTCAGTTTACGCTACAGTAATTCCTTAAGGAATTGGAAGTTGTTTTAAAGAGCCTACCCCAGAAACTTGTTTTTCTCCTCCTCAGCTAAGACACAAGTTTATTATGATTATTATGATTAATCACCCACCCTACTATGCATGTACTCAGTCTTGGCCTCTATTCAGCAATCAATACCTGCAAGATTACATGAAAAACCACACTGAATATCCCCCTCTATTTCTAGTTCTTCTAATGTGATTTATAAATGAAATAATGAGAAAAGAAATAGAAGCAAATCATCACTTATACAGCCAACAACCTGAAAACCAGAAAGAAAAAATGTAAAACAGAATAATATGTTTCCTAAAAGCACCAAGAATAAATTAAAGCAAATTAACTTACTTTTGAGATGTAATTATAGGCATGTTTGTGTTAACACCTGTACAAAGAAAAAACATACATTGTTTCATCAATATAAAGATGTTTTTGTGTGGTTTTGGTCACTGGGGTGATCTGCAGCCTGACAATTACCCCCATTCTCAGTCTTCAAAGCCATTTTGGTCCCACTTGTATTCAAGGACACAGCAGAACCAGGAAAGGTAACAGCCTGCACAAGAGAACAACTAAATACACCTTTTTTTCTCCAGCCCATAAAAAGACAATGATGAAGGGATATGATAAAATCCAGTGATGCCCATTGAGACTTAACTGTCACAGGAAAGATGAGCAAAGAATGACAGTATAAACAACCAAGAGCAGACTGGATGCAACTGGCCACAAGCAGATTAAAAACTTCCCCTATCCTTCCCTCATGATTTCATGGACACTAAAACCTACAGATTAACCCCAAAAAAACCGGGAGAGTTATCTGAAGAGAAGTCCAAGGATCCCTTTACTTACAGACTTCCCAAGGAACAACCCCAGGAAGACAAGGAGAGTGCACTGAGGAGCTATGACACATTTCCTGTTCCTGGGTTTTTCCCAGGCATTCCCCAAGCACAAAAGAGGGGGAGAGAGAGATCCTTGTGAAGAAAAGTGAAGAACTACCAGAGGACATTTACCTTGCCACTTAGCAACCAGCAGAGGGTCTGAAATGCTGAACACCGGCCGACTTCTTGAAAGGATTCCTTTTCCAAAATAGCCCTGCAAAGGAAAGGGAAAATATCCTTATTATTTCTTAACAAACAGATGAATTTATTTCCAAATTACAATATGTGGACTGCCAAGACCAGCTGAAACACAACTAAAATTCAGCAGCATTTAAGCTTTGCCTAGAGCTTGTTTATCTGCTGGTAACTGGTCAGTATTAAACCCCTGCACTGAGAGATTTAACCAGGTATGGTGGTTTAACTGGGAGGGTGTCTGGTCTTCTCCTCAATTCTAAATATTTGTCAGGCAACATCTCCAAACAGACATTTCAAAACGAATGCAGGAGACACCACCTGTGTATTGATGCTGTGACAACGCATGATGGAAACCAAAGAGATACTACTGCACAAGAATGGTGCTGAAATGGTACTCAGGCATAAAAGGAGTAATGTAGCTTATTTTACACAGGAATAAATCACTCTGAAGCTAAAATAATTACAGAAGCATTTATAAAATATTAATATTCCAACCTCCTGGGCTTTAAAAACAAGAAAGCACTTTTAAGAAGTTACATAAAATGTTGAAAGGAGACGTTAACAAACATGAAGGCTTTGCAGCTGTTTTTTAGGTCACAATGTCGATTCATTCAAAATATTTATCTGCTTGGATAAGAAATACTATTCACATTTGATCCAGAATATATGTTTTGTACTGATTTCAGGAAAGAATTGAGATATAGAGAATCACACAAGGCTGAAGGTGCGGGAAAACATAAAGGCAGCAGATTTTAACCAGTACTATGCTTTACCTGCAATTAAAACACTAAAAATACTGTGCAAACAGGGTGCAGCACCTTGTTATAGAGCTGTTCAATATCCTCTGGGTTCTTCACAATCACGTTGTTGTTGATGATTTCAGCCTGGCACATTCTGAAATCCTTCCCACCCACATCCACAGGGAAGGGACCCTCGTAGGACTCAAAAACTCTTCTTTTCCTTCTTGGGGGGTGAAAAACTGCTTCTGCCATTTCCTGATGTTAATATTTCCTCCTAAAAAGTGAAAGAAAAGCTTTAGTGTTTAGGTTTAGTGTTTTTCCATATTTCAGCAACATTCCCCTGGCAATAACAAATTATCAATGAATCCTCCACCATAATACAAGTTTAATTCTGAAACTGTTACACCATACAAACACAGGCACTGATCTGCTGGTGTTCTCTGTTCATCTGTGTCCCTAGACCGGGGGGGACGGTTCTCAGCCAACAGTTTATAAAGAGAACTTACAAATAAAAGATTTATAATTTTTAAAAATTTATAAGTATACATCTGTATATTTGTGAATCTATATAATTTTTATATATTAATAAATCTACAAATTTGTGCATATATATTCATATATTTATCAATTTGCAGGTTTCTTAAAGGTCATAGAGGAAAGAGTTTACAAAGGAAACTTCAGGACATAAACTGTGAGTTTCTGTTATGCTGTGAGCGCTTCAGGAATAAAGGAGAGGAATGAGCAGAAGAGCAGAAACCACAGCACTCAAGTGCCTGAATACGGAGTGTCCTGAACAGTCTGAGCCTAGGGAGCGTTCGGACAACGCTCTGAGGGACAGGGTGCGACTGGTGAGCGCCCGGGCAGGGCCGAGGTTGTTCTGGATGGTACCGGCGGGTACCCCCAGCCCGGACATTCCCTGGCTGAGGGCGGTGCTGCAGAGGCCGCGGCCGGGCGGGTTCTCCCCTGACCGGCCCCTGTGCCGAGCGCCGCGGGCGGAGCTGCGGCTCCCGGAGCGCGGGGCCCCCGCGGGCCGACCGGGACGGGCGGACCCCCAGACCCCCGTCCCAGTGCGGGCCCTGCCGCGGTGCCCGGGGTTGTCCGGGGTCTCGCCCCCGCCCCCCCCCCTCCCCTCCCCCTCCCCTCCCCTCCCCTCACGCACCGGGCCCCGCCGCTCACGGCCCGCGCGCCGCCAACCCGCCCCCCCGCGCATGTGCGTACCGAGCCAAGGGCCCGCCGCGGCCGCGCGCCCGCGGTGCCGGCGCTGAGGGGGAGAGGAGCCCGGGGGCACGGCGGGCTCCGGCTGCGGGAGCCGGGCTGCGGGATCCCGGGCTGCGAGACACCCGGGCTGCGAGCGAGGGGCGCGGAGCGGCTGCAGGGCGGGCAGAGGCAGGAGGGGGCTGCCCGGTGCCCCCGCCCTGCAGCGCTGTCGTCCCCGCTGGCCGCGGTGATGTCCTGCCGATGTCCCCGCCGTGGTGGGGTGACTGTCCCCGCCTGTTGCTGTGGTGATGTCCCGCCGGTGGTGCGGTCGTGGTTCCGGCGGGGCTGCCGTTGGTGTCCCAGGGGCAGTGAACCGGCACTGCGGCTCAAACACCATAAAGTGCGGGGAGGTGACACTGTGTGGAACACCCGGCCCGGAGCGATGAGCTCGGCGCTGGCCGTGGGACACGCGGGGATGCCACTGCACCCTCACGGGTGAGCTCGGTGCTGGCCGTGGGACCGCGGGGATGCCATTGCACCCTCACGGTGAGCTCGGCGCTGGCCATGGGACACGCGGGGATGCCATTGCACCCTCACGGTGAGCTCGGTGCTGGCCGTGGGACACGGAGATGCCATTGCACAGCGGGGGAGGTGAGGCACAGGTTTGGCTCCGTAACAATGCCTGTCACGGCTGTGGCTCAGGAAGCACCCGAGATAACACAGCCCTGGCTGACCCAGGGAACCAGGGCTGGCTCGGGAGGACCTGCTCGTGCAATCATAAAAACAGGTACCTGAGTACAATACAAAGTGTTTTCACTGCTCAGTGAGGAGCAGACATCCCTTCTTCTGTTTTGAATCACAGCTTGAGCCTTGCCCATCAAACGCACACAACACCTGCACCTATGGTACAACTGCTCTTGTTTTGAGGTGACACTGGGAGGTACCACTGTCACACACAAAGAGGATCAAGCCAGTTTGGCTCCAGGGACACAGACTCTCAGTAGAGAATTCGGATTCCCAACAGAGAGATCAGTGAGCTCACTGGTGAAAAGTTGTAAAGACACATCATTCTTATGAGGTGTTTTATCTCCCACTGCCATTTTACAGGCAAACCAGTGAGTCATGGGGCAGGGAATAATGGTTACAAGGCCACACAGGAAATACAGCACAAACCATGAGAATATAAGCTTGTGTTCTTATGGCTGTTGCCTACAGAGGTTCACTTTCTACACCAGCTCAAGATGTTAATTAATTTTGAATGCTGATTGACATACAAAGTGTTGAAGCTAAACCACAGAGGGGCCGGTTGTATTCCTGTCACCAAAGTAGAGAGAAATGCTCTGATAAATTCAGGCTCGTTCTTAGAGTTGTACCATTAAAATACCCAGTGTTAAAATATTGCAGGTAACAAGATGAAAGCTGGCATCAAAATTGTTACTCACTCAAAATTCCTTCTGAATTTGTCAAATCAAGCCTCATTTCAATGGAAGTGGAGTTTATCTGTGCTGGATATATCTGTATTTTCTCCTTGTGCAGACGTTACTCTGAGATGTGCATGACAGGGAGAAGGAGACAAAACACAGAGATACAGGTCACTGGCTTTCCTTCACATCTCCTTATCTCTGAGCAGCCTTGAGAGGGACCAGCAGCATATGCCAGTCACTCAATTAACTAATCACACCCCTGTTCCTTCAACCCAATATCTGCTCCCGTTTCTAATGATAAGCCCAGACTGTGCTGCAGCCAGAACTTGCTATCTGAAGGACAAGCTCCCTTAGACGAGTCATGCCACATTTCTTTTAGAATATCAATAATTGTACAGACACTTTCACAAATGTCTGCAGCTCTCTTTTTGTGATGAGCCGGCGTTTGGGCAGCACCTAAATGAGAGGCTCTGAACAGCAACCATCAAGGTCAGAGTGAATCACAGAGAGGCAGAAATATCACACTGCTGCCAGGAGCCAAGGCGAGAGGGACAAGTGATCTGTGAGGAAAGACTGAAATAACTGTCTAGAAATGGTAAAATGGGCAAAAGAGACCATTGCAATGAGGGGGTCATGCATTGTTCTGCATGACCACTGGAATATAGGAGGAGCAAGGGGGTCACACTGCAAAATAATATTGTACCTGTGAGGTGAGGATGACACTGAGGAATCGTGCCCATCACTGGGAATTTTAAGAGCAGGTTAGACAAACATCTTCCAGGACCACTACAAGTAAAGTTAATCCTGCCTCGAGACAGGGGACTGCACTAAAAGCCCTGAAGATCCCTTTCCTGGGAGTTTTCAGGGTTTGTTTTTCCTTCCAGGAGTGTTCCTGCTCTCTGCAGTGCGGCAGAGAATCCATGGCTCTGTGCTGCCCTACAGAGGCTGAACACCTGCAGCTTTTGCCAAGTCATCCTTCAGCTTTCCATCCGTGTTACAGTCTTTCGGTTCAGGAATGTCATTCTGAGAACAGACTATTTGGTGTTGTCTCTGGCTGATTCACTGTTCTAACGAGAGTTTTCAATTGCTTACTATTTCTTGAAACTCAGCTGAATTACTGCATTATTAAATTAAGGTCCAAACCAATGTCAGCTTTCTGACAAGCCTAATATGACTCTCTAAATCATGATGGTTGGAAGCCTTCAGTTCTAGAAATGCATTGCCTTCAACTCTGACACAGTTGTCTTTGCTGCCTGATTTTCAGTGGTGTTGTCTGGCTGTGTCCCATTGTTTATGTTGCCTCCCCTAGAAGTTCCATGCTATATGGATATAAATATGTTTATTCTATAGCATAGTCCCATGTGGGACATGAGTGCATCCACAGGAAACCCTCTGAGCTGGCAACATCTTCCCAGGAGGAAAATGCTTCTGCTCTGTGTTGTTACGGGATTTCTCAGGAAACGGTGGAGGAGTAGAGCTGAAAACCAGTTACAGTGGCAAGACATGCTCTCCCTGCCAGGCAGGGAGACCTGTGACCACACACGTGGTAATTTCCTTTCAAATCTGCATAACATTTACAATTTTGTGCTCTCAGCCTCTCTGTGGTTTGTGTCCTTCCACAGTGACTGTTGCACTGCAGAGCTCATCTGGAATTATTTGTATGAAACAGTCCTTTTATAAAATAGGAGTTCATTTACTATTACATTAACTAATATTTAACAACTGATATTAACCAATTATCATGCTATGGAGTTTCTACTCCATAAAATTAAGTTGCCATATGCAGGGAATTTTGTTATCCAAGGTGATTGTTTCCTGGATGCTTAGGAGCTTTTACAGGGAGTTGGAAAGTTAATTCTCAGTCCTATCTCAGCCAAAACATACAGGCCAGGTACGCTTTAAATACATATTTTACGTGCTTAGGCTTATTAAAAAAACCAGAAATGTCAGCTTGTAAAACTCTGCCCATGTAGCACTCTCAAGAAAGTTAGTCATAAAATCACAAAAGAATGATCTATTCTTGTAGTGTCTTTAGGTAATTTTGGAATCCATGCCAAGAAAAAAGGTTTTGCATAGAATCTCATAAAATTCAAGTAATGATTTGTCATTATAATAATTTCTGTCTCTGTTTTCAACAGAATGTGCCTGTGAAGTTTTCTTATCCCATACTAGTTATAGTCCACAGAAGGAACATGAGGTCACTCTCCTTTTTAAATAAAGCCCTTTTCTTTCTCACAAGGTGATTTGGACAGTAGTGGGAAGATGGACTGTAGTTATTTACATTAGCCAGTTCCAGTTTCCCCAGACTGACAGAAATTCCCATGGAAATTCTGGTTACATTAACTTTGACAGAGATATGGGACTGTTTTTGGAAACTTTGAAAAAAAAAAACCAGCTAGGGAATACTTTTCATTTTTATTAATATGCAGTATCTTAATTTTGTTTATTAAAGAAATAAATCAAGGTTAGTTTCTGCTTAGTTTCAGATGGTTTTCACAGGAGACAAAAAAACCGAGAAGTCAGACAAATATTGGCCAAGCATCAACCCAGTAAGGAATCCCATGATAGAAATCCCGAGGTGGACAGCAGTAAAATGAATAGCATGAGAAAAGAGAACCTTAAATATGAGTATGTTGTTAGCATACTTACTTCAGACTTGGACAGTGCTTTTGTGTTCTTGGAGATTAAACACACTTGGATGAGGAATTGTTGTAACAAACCCACTGATCCAGCTGCCATCCGATCCCATCCCATCCCATCCCATCCCAGCAGGTACAGCCCGAGGGCTCTCAGAGACATCACAGGGCACAGTCACTCCTTGTCCTTTTGGGCAGCTCCCAATTTCTATTACAAACTACATGAATCTGAAAATGATGTGAACATTCATTTTCTCTGCATCAAATCTTTCAGCCTCCCCAAAGTCACTTCTTTCCTTCTCCCCATGGAAACTAATGCAGAAAGTCTGGGCTTGCCATTCCAGGAGCAATTAAGGGCACTTACAGCCCCTGAGTTTTGCCCAACCCTTGAGCTCCAGCATCAGATTTATTTATCTTTTGGTGATGAAACATTTGTTCTTTTGTAGGTCATTAGTTTTTCTGCTTCATCAATCCCCTAGGTGAGTTGTTAAATGATGTACAGCTTCTGTTTTGTCAAATTCTGACTCTCACCTTCACCTCATGCCCTCACCTGGGCAGGGCAGTGAGAAACAAGGACAAAACTCCAGGTTCGGGCAAGACCATCAGTAAAAGTCCATTTTTAAACTGTATTTCAACTGGAAAAAG